ATCTTAACTTCTTTGGTTTTACAGATGTTGGTGGAATTGATTGAAATCTTGATTCCTCCCTGGTTTGAACTGCTCCTTTTTCCCCCTTGGTGGAAAGTGCTGGTACCCCCTTGGTGGCTTTCCGGAAAAAACTATTCCGATGTCTTCTTTCCCAGGTTGGTTATCGTACTCTTCTTAATTAATTTTAGCTTTTCTTCTCCCTCAATTGTGAATTTCTTTGGTTATGTTTTTTCTTTAGAAATTTATCTTCGTAGGATTTCACGAGCGTTTCGAAATAGATGTTTACTCAATGATGATCAGGAAGCGAATTCTCGCGTCCTCGTTATTCATTTTTCACCCTTTTTTCGGCAAAAATCGACAAAAACTTCTCTTTTTTGTCCATCACCCTCTTTGATACCACAAGAAAAAGTGTAAAAAATTTGTATTTCTGAGCGCCATCTCTTATTGACATTTGGTTTTTCTTCCAAATTTTCAAAAATTACTTTTTAAATAAACTATATTTATTGAAATCCTTCAATGTCTGAATACTCTGAATTATTTCATTCCCCTTTGACACAATTTTTCACATTAATTCTTCTTTAATTCCAAAATTTATATTCCGTTTCTTTCAAAATCTTCACATTTTTAATTTTCAACATTTCGGTTTTAAACTGATTAAAATCACTTGAATCTGATGTAATTCATTATAAGCTTTATGTTTTTAGGTATTTCAAGAAGTTTTTTGGCTGTAATCACCCATAAATTGAATACTTTGGATTTGGAGGTTATGTTTCGTTTTTTTGTGGCCTCTTTTTTTTTAACTAAATACAAGAATATTTCTTAATCTACGACGGAAATACGAACGGATTTATCATTGATTAAAACATTTTTACAAATAACGACGAAATCAATGAGAACTATAACAAACTTTTATGAAATTTTTCAACGATCAGCTTTAACTATCCTCGGTATATCAACTTTGATATCAATACGTGAGTTGTTCTTTATATTTTAATTATAATATTAATTTGAACGATTTGAAGAAGTACTAATAAACT